GCTTCCAACTGTCTAAATCCCTTTGAAAATGAGATTTAGGTTCCTAAATCAGTTAGGTGTTGTAATGCTGAGCACAGCAATACCTAAATACCTTTACAGATCTGGGCCTATGAGTATGCATGAGAAATATATTGGAGTAGGCAACACAGGGCATTTTCACTAACACACATTTGCCTATACCCTTTATAGGCATGTAAATAGAGTTTGTTGGGGAATCTGTTTTGGTTCTTCAGCTAAAGGCTGCAGAAATATAATATTGTAGGCATTTTTCAAACTGATTCTAAAACACTGACAGCCTACCAGGTAATGTTAATGCTCCATTTACCATCTACAAAATCATTTCCAGTTTTATATCTATCACATAAGTATTATGACCCCGCTGTCAGTGTTAAAGCAAGAGACCGATATTTTCTATTGTGTGTCATTTCTAGTTGTATGAAATAAACAGCAGTTAGATGGTCCTTTTTCTGTCAGTTTTCTTGTGTTTATCCTTTCATATGATAGGATTTTCAACTTAGTAAAAACGCAGTTGAACTCATAACCCCATTCCAGAAAATAGTTAGCCCTGAGCTGTGTAAGCATTGCTATAATACAGAAGGCATTAGTAGCAGACATCTGTCAGTAAACAAAACTGCAGGCAAGGTGAGCTATTCTGCCTTTACTCTTGCTATATGAATTTGATACTGAATCAGTAGCTGGTTCATTAAAATTCAGGGGTACCAGTTTGTGTCATAAGTGCCAAATTACAATTGAATTTGTTAAGAATGTCAAAACACTGCTATTCTACAGTCAACATTCATCTACTGAATACCATTCCTCCATGTTATCTAGATGGCAGTAGATAAAGCCTTTCCCTAAAAACTCTCTTTAATATTTTGTTGATCATGATCTTTTTCCCACGGTTGTATGTTTGATTTTGCACATGGGAGTATTTCTTCCCTTCTCTGCACAAAGTGATAACGTTCCAAAGAGTTTTTAAAAGTTTAATTTAAAAAAAAAAAGTTCATTATGTATGCTAGAGATGGCTGAGTGGTCAGCAAGGGATGACTAAATTCAGGGGTGTCATTGTGCAAGCTACACATCAGTAAATTAGTGTAAGTGGGTGTGACAGCAAGTATAATTGACATACCAAAGGCGTGTGTGGATGAGGTTGTAGCAGGAAAAGCACTGAACAGGAAGCCATTACATCTTGTTACGCCCATTAGTTTGCTACATTTGCTGTTACAATCCTGCCCTTGCAGTATGTAAATTTCAGTGGTTTCCATACCTGATCCTGGATGCATAATTGACACCAGAGTTTCTCAACCAAGGTCTGAGGCCCCCTGGGGGGGCTGCAAGCAAGTTTCAGGGGACCACCAAAATAAATCAGACTGCAGGGCCAGCATTAAGAGTCGCTGGCACCCAGGAAAGAAAGCTAGATCCCAAGCCCCACTGTGTGGGGCCGAAACTGAAGCTCAAACTCTGCCGCATGGGGATGAAGCCAAAGCCCAAACAACTTAGCTTCATGGGGCCCCCTGGGACTACCCCATAACTCCACTCTGGCTTTTAATCTACTGGATATGCAGAAAAACATTTCTTGTGGCACAGGCGGGCCGTGGAGGTTTTATAGCGGGGGGGGGGAGGGGGCTCCAAAAGAAAAAGGTTGAGAATCCCTGACTTAAACCATCATTTATGTCACCTCTGAATTTGGCTGGGAAAAGCTCTTTCTCATCTTACTTATCTATGGGATGTATTATGCCATCAATTTAAGGCGGAATTCCTCATTGATTTTGTTTCAGTGAGGAGTTCTACTTAAATATCCAATGGCAAGTTATGGCATTATGTAACTATTTATATAATATTGTACCTGATTTTGAACTGTGCATTGCCCAGGGCTGTGCAAAGCCCTGTCTTTATCTTCACTTTAAATCTCAACTGGAGACAAGTAATTACCAAGCGAATGTCAATGAAACCATCTACTACAAAGGCTTTAAGAAACTGACCAAACAAAGCCAGGATTAGGAAACGTTTAACAATTCTTACCACTTTTTGCCCATTTGTCTTTGTCGCAGTACTTACTTACGCCAAATATCCTTAAAGATAATAATTTCTGTAGCTGCACCACCCAAGGATCTTTTGTTTGTGATCAGATTTTCTCATTTAGTCAATCTAAATTCAAAGAATTATAAAGATGAAATTGATTGGTATGTGAAAAAAGAACAGCACCGCTCTCATTAACACGTCACCACAAAGGCCAGCTAATACCATTAACACTTCACCACAAAGGCCAGCTAAACCAATAGCTATACTAAAAGGATTAGTAGTGTTTTTAAAGAGTACATTTTCTAAGAGAACCCAGACTATATACAGAAGTATAGTGAAGCCATTTTAAATACCAGCTAGAACAATATATACCATAGAATATATCTCTGTTATATAATATATAATAAATTATATAGTCTATATGATCACCTAAATGGTAGTTTTCGATATGCAAGGAATCCAGGATCAGACTCTAAATTTGTTAAAGGAAAAGGCTGTCACTGAACTAAGGGTAAAATGCCATAGAAAATAGACTGCATGGAAAGCTACATTAATTTATATTCACTGGATCAGACTAACATGCAGTGCATTAAAGAGCAGAATCCTCTTAAGTTTAAAATAATAAGTCAAAAAGAAAAATACTGACGTAACAAGATTATTTAACACATTTCTACATTAGCTAAATAGCTACACCAGTAACACTTTTCATTGATTCTAATGTACTCTTATTCTGATTCAGCAGCACTTTATTCCATGAATACTTCTATTGACTCCAGTGGGGCTACAGGTGGAGTAAGGCTATTGGAATCTGTCCCATAGTGTTTTCTATCACAGATCTCAAAGTACGTTACAATCATGGTAAGAGTTGTTATCTTTATTAGACGGATGCAGAAACTGAGGCTCAGAGCTATTGAGGCCAAAATTTTCAAACGTATCCACTCATTTTGAATGCCTCAACTTTGGGAGCCCAGCTTGTGAAACTGTGCACGCCAAAATGTAGAATGTCTCATGCTCACACAGCTAGTTCATGGCACTGTCAAGAACCACAGTCCCTTGACTCTAAGGGCTTCTTTTCTCACAGGTTTTGTACGACTTTAAGTATATGGGTTTAAAAATAGATATAATTAAAGCACTACAGTGCCTGAGTGGGAACACAGCTATACCGGTATAAAGGTGTTTATAGTTTATACTCCTGTAAATATTTGGACAGAAATAAACTATACTGATATAAGCACCACATGCAAACTGACATCCAAGAAAACTATGGTTCACTCTCTGGCTGCAGCAGGGAAGGGGAAGGCCGGATACTGTGACATTCCAAGCCTTAATTTCTGGGAGTGAACTAAGGCCCCAAGGCCAGCTGGATTACAGGTGTTCCCCCTCTTGAACTTATCTCATGAGGTGGCTAATAAAGAAAAGGCCTTTCTGCAAGCAGGGGGAAAGAGGTGCAGAGAAAGCGATGACTGATGGAGACAGAATTGTCAGAGGGAAGAGACTGTTATATTTAATGTCAATAGTGAGAATGTAAGGATAAAAAAATATAACTAGGAATAAAACAGTGATTATGCTACCCATGAAGCTACAAACCAAGTAACTACAAAAACAAACTGCTCAGGTGTGGTGTCTGCTATTGGTGTGGTGTCTGGCACACGAATCAATGGACCAACTGGTCAAGCCCTTACTCTTATGAATAGCCCCATTGATTTCAGTGATCAGGCCCCTAGTGTGTGTGTGTGTGTTTGTGTGTATGCACGTGCGCACACATTTTTGCTTGAAACTGTCAAAGAATGAAGATGTGGTCTTCTCTGAATAATTCCATTGGGAACCTCTAAGGACTCTGTTATCTGAAACAACACATGTACGGTGGGTTCTCGGAGTTCAGTGAAGACTGTCATAAGATACACCCACACATGCTGTGTTTTCTCATAGAGATATGATTGTTATCTTTTGTTGTTGTTCTCTTAATCTAAAATATAGTACAGTACAGGGCATTCAGACTGAGAGCGTCTGTTTGTTCTTTATTCATGGGACAATATAACACGTCGTCATCACAAAGATAATAAAATGGGAGCTGAACTTTCAAGAATCATGCTCTTTTCTCCAAGCTACTGGGCTCTCTTCCAATGGCCGTAGTTTCCCAATAGTCTTGTGAAAAGTGTGAGATCCTTAAAAGCTTCTCCACCTCCCTTTTTTCCTAAATATTCCAATAAAAATTATCAGATTATCTACTGCTTGGTAGGTGTGATGGGATGGACAACTGTAGCAGGTTAGGAAGAGGTTAATAGTCTATCCTGGACACGCACTGAATCAGGCTCCATTCTGCAACACCTTCCAGCAATACCAAGCCTTGAGAACTTCCACTTAGATGGAGTGAAATACAAGGGAGCAGGCTTTCGAATTGGGCTACCTTGGAAGAACCTAGGCAGCGGGTTGAGTTGAATCTTGTGGTGTTTAGGGACGTTCTGTAGACATTCATAGCTGCTTGATGTTCTATAGACATTCCAGCAATTTCTCCATCACACTTTTTACTAGCTGAAAGTAAGGTCATTATGGGATAGAGTGTGAGCTTGCCACAAACCCTGGCCATGGGCCAGTGGGTAGTTATACTGCCCCACGCAGAGACTGGGAAGCAGAAAATGATAGAGAGAGACAAAATCTCCTTCCTGGTTTCCCCTTCTGAAAGGTGAATGTATCCTGTGCCAGCAATGTCCCACCAAGGCTGCACCTACTCCTTATCCCTTTCTGCACAGTCCCCGTCCACATGAACAGCCTCCGCAGGGGCCATGTACTGCCGTTTGCACAGCTAACTGCAGTAACGGGTGTGCAGAGCGGTAATGGAGTATTCCCTGAGCGGGTGCATAGGCAAGACACAATCTGGCACTAATTACAGCTGGATATATCTCTTTAGATTTCATAAGCTTTATGATAAAGACAAGGTACATCAAGTCAGTGTGTATAAATAAATAAATAACAACTGATCACTTAAAATACATTTATCAAAGGGGTTCAAACCATGCTACTTTAAAGCTCTTCAGTGCACATTACAGACTTTGATACAATTAATTTGATACAATTAACTTAGGCTTGAATAGAGACTGGGAGTGGCTAAGTCATTATGCAAGGTAACCTATTTCCCCTTGTTTTTTCCTACCCCTCCCACCTCCTCAGACATTCTTGTTAAACCCTGGATTTGTGCTGGAAATGGCCCACCTTGATCATCATACACATTGTAAGGAGAGTGATCACTTTAGATAAGCTATTACAAGCAGGAGAGTGGGTTTGTGTGTGGGGGGGGGGTGAGAAAACCTGGATTTGTGCTGGAAATGGCCCAACTTGATTATCATACACATTGTAATGAGAGTGATCACTTTAGATAAGCTATTAGCAGCAGGAGAGTGGGGTGGGAGGAGGTATTTTTTCATGCTTTGTGTGTATATAAAAAGATCTTCTACTGTGGCGGTTCAATGACAAGACAGAACAGAGCTTTAAGCAAGCAAGCGAGCTGGTCTGCTAACGGGCTTCTGCCTGTCAGCTTTCCACCTTCCCCCTTTATTCTTTCTCTCCCCCCGCGCATTACATTCTCCAACAGATAAAAGGAATACACTGGCTTTGTTTAACATTCTTATTTACCAGTTTCTATCTACCACATTCCTTGCTCTCGGGCCTTGAGCCCAGTCCTGGGAGGCTTCCCACGGTTCATGTCATCTGGGCGAGATTCCAAGGTTGATGCCCTTGAAAGGAGCTGTGTGTGCACAGGTCCAGCACAACACTCCGGGTGTGCCCTGAATGTTGCCAAGCGCATAAACCTTGTATGAATCCTACATCCCCTCCTTTTTTGTTTATTTGTGCTCGGCCATCTCATGGTAGCCACCAATTTGCTTTTGCAAGCCAATTAACTCCCGGACAGACAAGGTCATAACTCGTGGAGCCTGCCAGGGCGGTTCTCGACAAAGCCTTAACAAAAAGGAAATACATTGCACACAGCAACAGCAAAAAATAAGCTCAAGAAGGTAAAGTGTAATTGGCCAGGCCCCAATTAGCCATGCTAGAGTTCTGGGAAGAGAGGTTCGCGTAAGCAGCGAGCATCATCTCATTTCCGATTTCCTCAGGGTGATGACATACTGGAATAAGGCACGTACCTAACAATTCTTCAGCTGTTACAAAATCAAATAAACAAAAGTGGGTAACATTTGCTATTGAAGCCAATCTTTCCCATAGGTTATATGTCATTCGGGCTCGTAACGGAGAAAGCGCTCCTGAGCCAACCCCTACGGGAAATAGCAGGCACAAAAGGCATACAATCAATACAGAATTAGCAGTAATTTGGGCAAGAATTGCCACAAAGTCTCAGAAGTCTCTGGCGGTTGGTTTGCTGCCAGTCTTCGTTGAGCCGCGGCGACCAATGCTTTTACTGCTCCCCATGTCACGGGCTGGCTTGGGACGCTACGCCTCCTCCGTTTCCATCCTGCCGTTGTCGACCCGGGAGGCACCGCGTTCTCCTCCAAGGTCAGCTGAAACTCCGGTATGGGGTTTGACAGCCCCTGGTGCCACGCCATGCTGTTTCAGTGCCGGTCGCACACACCGGGCCAGAACCCACAACGGTCCTGCAGGGAGAGACACAGCAGCATATCCCCGACCCCAAGTAATTAGAGGCACTGGGCCCAACCATTGCGGATCGGGCAGCTGATGGTAATAGACACGCGGTCTTTCCAGTACCTCGGATTCGTGAAAATGCCGATCCGTGGGGGTCTGCTGATCTGCGTTCAGCGTTAAATTATTTAAAGTGAACAAAAGGATATGCAATTGTTGCTGAATGTCTCCTAAGGTTCGGAGACGCAGCTCCCCTTGTTTTAATTGTTTGTCGAGCAAGGTTTTTAGCGTGCGATTTGCACGTTCAACAATGGCTTGGCCCATGGAATTATAAGGGATCCTGTGTGTGAGACGGACGTTGGACGCAAAAGGTGGAAAGGTCTGTGGAGCAGTAGGCTGGGGCATTATCTATTTTTATCTGGCTCGGGCGACCCATAACAGCAAAACAGGCTAGCAAATGGTGAACAACTTTGGGAGTGGCTTCCCCACGCTGTGGGGTTGCCCAGAGGAATCCTGAATAGGTATCAATGGAAACATGTAAAAACGAATAGGGGCAGAATTGTGGCACGTGGGTGATATCCATTTGCCACAGCTGATTCGCTGCGGTACCTCTGGGGTTAACGGCATAAAAAAAGGTCGGGGCAGCAGCGGCACGGTGGGGGCAAGAACGAACAATAGAACGTGCATGATCAGCAGGAATATGAAACTGTCGGGCAAAAACAGAGGCAGACTGATGAAAAAAGGAATGGCTTTCAATGGGGTCAGAAAAAAGGGAATTTACTTGACCACGTAACGCGCGATCGGCGCGCGCATTGCCTTCAGTAAGTAGCCCAGGCAGAGGGGTATGACTGCGAATATGAGCAACAAAATAAGGGAAATTACGAGTGGTGAGGAGATACTGTAAGGACAAAAACAGGCAAAGAAGGTCCGCATCGACCTGAGGGGTAATAAGGGCAAGGGGTAAATGATCAATTACCTGATAAACATAATGCGTGTCCACGATCACATTAAAGGGACAATCAGCAAAAAGTTGAAAGGCCAAAATAACAGCAGCTAATTCCAAGGACAAGTAAAGCTTTCCAAGCACTGTGCATGCAAATATTATTGTACAAGTGAATGAAGCGCTTTCAGCTTTTCTAGGGGGAGGGGCCACTGGTCAATCCATACGGGCTCTAAGGATTGCCATACTAATGGTAATGCGGATGGCAAGGTGGGTGAGGGAGGATTTCGGGCCATTATATATTAATATCGAGGGTGGTGTCCAGCTTTGTAAGTAAGTCACGGCCCCAAATATTGAGCTGGACAGGGAGTACAAAAAGGCGGATTGTAGCAAGGGCACGGCCTCCTGGTTTGGAGACCGTGACCCAAGACAAACTTTGGCGCCCGGGTTTGCTACCCCCGATCCCCCACAACTCTTTAGAAGGAACTGTTGGCCAACCGACCCACCACTCCAAATCACGAATCACCGTAACGTCAGCTCCAGTGTCCACCAGCCCTGTAAAAGGAACATTATTTAAGAGAAGTGTTAACTGAGGTTTCGAGGGGCGGACCGACATTGTTAGAGCAACAAGTGGAGAGGACGTGTTGTGAGATGGCGACTGAGCCAGAGTCGATCAAAACCGCCTCCGCCCCGGGCTCGATCCTCTGCGGCTGGCACCTGATAGGGGACTAAAATCAATTGTGCAATTGACCGTCCACGCGGGAGCGACCGTGGAAGATGGGTCCATACCTGAACCTTAATTATGCCGTTGTAATCGGCGTCAATGACCCCTGGGATGACAAAAAAGCCCTGTTTCCCAGCATGTGAGCAAGGGAGAACCAGACCCACAAATCCGGCAGGGAGAGGTCCCGTCACCTGGGTAGGTATGGCGCAAACCTCCCCCGGCAACTGAAAATCAGCGTCCTCCTGCATAATCAAATCAAGCCCTGCACTTCCGGCAGTCGCCGCCTTCATGGAGTCTATGGGTTTTAAAGCAGAGGAACAGTTGTCTGAGTGGGAAACACCCCTGTTTGGCCCTGGGTTCGGCGGGGACCCGTCGTGCGGTTTCCCGACCCGCTACGACACTGATTAGCCCAGTGATAGCCCTTCCGACACTTGGGGCACTTCTTTGAGGGGCGGGCGGGCGCCGTCGATGAGTGGCACTCCCGCTGAAAGTGACCCTCCTTACCACAGTGGTAACAACGCTTCCCCTCCTTCCCGCTTTTCCGCAGGGCGGCAGCCAGAACTCCAGCTTTATGTGCTTGAGTTCCGATGTTTTGGCACGCCCGCAGCATGTCCGACAGCTCTAGAACTCCAGCAGTTTGTGCCGCCTGGAGAGCACGGCGGCAATCCTCGTTCGCATTTTCAACCGCCATTTTTAACAGGATCTCCTGAGCTGCTGCAGGGCTATCCACCTGTCGGAGGATAGCCTCCTGCAATCTGTTGGTAAAATCCATAAAGGACTCTGATGCACCCTGACGGATACTGGCAAAGCTTTTGGTAGGCTTGCCTGAATCCGGAACCTTCCGGAAAGCATGCTGGGCGCAGGTGGAAATAATGGAGAAGACGGCCTGAGGGAGTTGAGACTGCATCTGAACAGTAGCAAACAGGCCCTCCCCTGCCAAATGCTCATAAATGACACCTTGCTCTCTATACACCTGGGCTTGACGTTCCGCCATCTGCCGATACTCACTAAGCCAAATAACATACTGACTGGGCGTCAGCATCATGCGCAACAGCGCCTTCCAATCTTCAGGGATTAGGGTGTACCCAGTACCTAGCCCTTCAATGAGACCACGTACATACGTGCTAGTGAGGCCGAACTCACGAATCGCTTTCTTTACGTCTCTGATCACCGAGTAGGGCAAACTGACCCAGTTTGCAACCTGGTTGCCCTGGCCAGCATCCTGCCAGGTCACCGGACAAACTGAGACCAGATCAGCAAGCTCCTCTGCTGTAAGATCTGAGCGAGTCTTCGCTGCGTGAACCATTTGTTGCACCAGCGAAAGCCGCTGAGCAGACGCGGACGACCCTCCGGGGGGCCCCGGAAGGGCGGTGGTAATAGAGGCACTGGGGGCAAAGCAGGGGGAGGGATGGCTGCAGGAGAGGACGGGCGTGGCGAGATCACCAGCCTCGCGAGGGAGGGCCTGTCCGAGGCGACACGCTGTATCGCGTCGCGGCAGAGGTGCCAGGCATGTAGAGCCTGCACGGGCGCCTGAGGCTCTTTGTGCAATGTCTGGCCCAACCGCTCCCAGTCCGCTAGCTTAAGGGTTCCAGCTTCAGGATACCACGGGCACTGGGCACGCACCTCCTGTAGCAGGAGAGTGAGTTCTCGAGTGGGGCAGTCATGCTGAGCCTTACGCAGCAAATACTGTAGCTCACTGCGGTGTTGCACTTGCAAAGCAGAGAGGGAGCTTCCCATACTTACCACAATGAAAAATACTCACCGGGATCCATGAAGCGGATGAGTGACGCATCTGAAACCCTTGCCGGGCGAGGTGAGTGCTGAGGGCCCCACGTTTGGGCGCCAGTTGTGGCGGTTCAATGACAAGACAGAACAGAGCTTTAAGCAAGCAAGCGAGCTGGTCTGCTAACGGGCTTCTGCCTGTCAGCTTTCCACCTTCCCCCTTTATTCTTTCTCTCCCCCCGCGCATTACATTCTCCAACAGATAAAAGGAATACACTGGCTTTGTTTAACATTCTTATTTACCAGTTTCTATCTACCACATTCCTTGCTCTCGGGCCTTGAGCCCAGTCCTGGGAGGCTTCCCACGGTTCATGTCATCTGGGCGAGATTCCAAGGTTGATGCCCTTGAAAGGAGCTGTGTGTGCACAGGTCCAGCACAACACTCCGGGTGTGCCCTGAATGTTGCCAAGCGCATAAACCTTGTATGAATCCTACACTTCTACGCTTTCCACAGTATGCATCCGATGAAGTGAGCTGTAGCTCACGAAAGCTTATGCTCAAATAAATTGGTTAGTCTCTAAGGTGCCACAAATACTCCTTTTCTCATTACAGACTTGTGACTGAGGCACAAAGCTAACATTTTCCCCTTTCTGTTTAAATGCCAGGTTTGGGAGACTTAAGATTAAGTGCACAGCCCTTATTAAGAAAGATCTAGTTTAGGGTTCGTGCTTGACATCATAATATCCTTAAGTGGTCATTGTACAAGGCCATGAGATATTATGTCTACTGGTTGTGTTCCAGTGAGTGCTGCAGGATTAACTCAAAGCAAGCATCGTTCAAAAGTTGTGGTCAGAATGTTCTGCTAAAATGTGTTGCTTTAATATAGTTAAGCAATTAACCAATTAAACCTGGGTGATATATTTGACATTTAAAACTGAACTACATCAGGGTTTTCTCCCTTTCACCCTGATCTCCTTCCAAACTGCATCCATGGAATGCCTAATTTTTCTTGACAGAAGTGTGTCACTTCTTTAGATTTGGTGGGAAGTTGTGATGAGGACACTATTAACCCCAAGGGTTGTTACAGAGCCTGACATACTTGTGTTTATTGATCACAGATCCTATGGCCACAGTCTGCTTGATAAGCAGGAGACAGGCTGAAGATGCTGGATTTTAAATCTCACACAATTGCAAGGAAATATTTGAGCCTTCCTACAGTTAAAATTAGTTTTCCAAAATCATAAGTATTTAAACTAGATCTGTCCTCAAGAGTGGATAATCGAAGGACGTTACAAAATAGTGCTAAAAATATACAAACAAATGGGTATACGGATAAAGGATTTTGCAGCTGTATAGCCCCAGCAGAAGCTCCTGGAGGCATGGTCCTTCTAGGAACAGAGATATAGCACACCTGCTACACTACCCTTCAGATACATGCAGCTGCACACATCAGACTGGTTGAACTCCTGGGTCATGAAGTCCAGTCCCCTGCCATTGCAGACAGCCCTGTCATATAATCCCATTCATAAACTCATCAAGATTCATCTTAAATCCAGTTAGGTTGTCCCCCCTTCCCACTCCACCCCCTTCCCCACACACCCCCACACACTGGAAGTCTGTTCCAGGGCCTCCATTGTTTTACACACACACACACACACACACACAGTGTGTGTGTGGAGCCAGCTCTGCTGGGCAGCATGGAATTTGAGATTGGAGCCCTGGTCCTGTCCCTCCAGTTCCTCTCTGCCATCTCTAGGAAGTTTGAGCCAACAGCAGTGCTGATCAGAAGTAGTTCTCTTGGTCCTTGCAGTGCGAAGATTGCCATTGTAAGAGGCCTCTCTTTAGGGAGTACGAAGGGAAGGGGATGTTTTCCATGCTTGTCTTCCCCAGTCACAATCTCGGCCGTATGGTATATACACATTTTTCTTCAGAATCCATACTATTGGTTGTGCTTATAACAAAATGAAAAAAAGTCAGTTTTAGCCCAAATATTGGCTCTCTATAATGTGGCAGGTTGATCTTCAGCAGCACAATTATTAGAAATTATATTTAGAGTGCCTTCTTTTAACTGTCATTAACGACTGAAATCTCACTGGAGGTAAACCTGGACATTCTAGCTTCAGCAGAAAATCATATTTTTTACTAGAGCGCAAGATTCTCCCAGGAGAAAGGGAACTGCCCACAGCCCTGGAGTTGAGACTCAGAGGTGGCACAGAACACAAGTGACTGCTCTATATTGCAGTGGCAGCTGCCAGCTGTTCTCAGTGGGTGAGCAGAAGTGACATCTGTTGCCCTGCTGAAAACAACTGGGAGGCACAAAAAGCACCGGCTGAATCCCAGCTGGGAGGCCCTGGGTGGCAGGAGAGTGGAAAGGGGCTGACAAATGGCTCTCATCAGGCCACAATTAGCACAGGTGGGATAGGGGAGGGTGCGTCTTTTCATTCCATTAAGGTCCTGGCAAAAGAAACAAGGAAGAGACAGCTGCGTAAGAGGGGAAAGAATAGTTGTGTGTGAGAGGGAGGAGGCAGAAAAAGGAAGGGAATGGAAAAGAAGGACAATGGAGGAATGTGATCTGACTGGGAAAAAATCACTGGGTGCTGACGAAATCATCACAGCATCCTACAATCTCAGGGCTTGTCTACATGAGAAAACTGGCCAGCATAGCTATAGCGGAATAAGCTAATCTCCAGAATTAAACTCACCTTCATTCCAGAATAGAGTTTCCACATAGGGAGTTATTCTGATATAGCTACTGCAGAACTGATTTCCCCCCTGTATATTCCTCTGTAACTATACTGGTCAATTTCCCCATGTAGACAAGCCCTCATTGTCTCCCCCTGGGTGCTGTTGCATGGTTTCATCAGCGTAGTTTCATTGGCAATAAGCCAATTTCCACATCTGAATCAAAACTACAGGTGTCCTGGAGATTATTACCTCAACACATGCAAGTATGAAAATAGGATTAATATACATGTCTTGCAGTGTGGCAAGAAAGTGGTGTCAGCCACAACGCTAGCGGGCCCATTCTCCCTTCTCACTTGGTTTAATTTGTCTCCTTTTTCCATGCTGAATCCCAAAGAAATAACTATGATAAATAGTGGTCATGGGGCAGGTTCCGAAAACATACTGTACATGCCAGATTAGGAATCAGCTTCTAGCACATGTTTCAATTAGATAATCAACACCAGCCGTCAGGAGAGAAATTTGGTTTGATTATAAAGATAAAAACGGAGCCTGGTTTAAGAGAAAATGAGAAGCAGATTCACCCCTGTGCAAAGGCTTTCACAGGCTTAGGTACCACTTTTCCCCATTTGGAAAGATAAATCAGATTTATGTGATTCATAGACCTTGTCCTTGCCATAGGGGTGAATTTCACCTACACAGTGAAATCCGTTGCTACCAGAAAAAGGAGGACAAAAACTGATCACAAAGCTTAGCAGCTGCCACTATACCATATGGGCCATGGGAGAAGAGGAGACCATTTTACCCATTTCAGGGGAAATTAAATATAAGATGATATATATGTTAATAAAAAAAATGTTATCTGCTCCCTGCTGTGTTTCATCTCGGGAAGAGGAGATAAAATTCTTGTTTGCCATATGCTACTGTGTGAAAAATTAAAAGTTGAGTTTAACAATCGTTCAATAGCATTGATAGCCCTAATTCAATCACACAATACATTAAAAAGATATTAGAGCAACATATTACAGCTCATGCAATCTCAACCTGTCAAAGGAACACTATAGAAGTAACACGGCTGACATTAGTTAGTCAGAAATGGAACACGCCTCTTTGGTTTAATGTAGCTGTTTGCAAAGTCAAAAATAGAAATGTTTAAATAATACAGTATTTTCCAGACAAAAAGGACTCCCAGGCAATCCCATGACAGACCGGTTTGTACACACTGTGGGGACAGACAGTTTTAAGTATGTAAGGGGTTATTTAAAAGAAAAGTTAATTAGAAATATATTTAAATTATTAAATACCTGCTGCGTGTCCCTATAAAAGGCACCATAATGCACCCATGTATTTGATTGCTTGACTGCTTGCATATTCCCACCCACAGCATAGCTAGATCACTGATGGGTTTTCTTTGTTTTTTGTTTTGGACTGGATATATCTATTAAGTGACCAGACTTGTGTGGTGCTGAGTGCCCTCATCTCCCATTGAAGCCAGTGCTATGGAAGGTACTTACCACCTTCCAGCATTGAGCCATAGATCACACAGCAGAGTTCAATTCTCAGATGAAAAGCTAGGAAAAGAACACACTGCAATTTCACCCACTAGCCCCTCTCTTCTCACCCCTGGCATGCTCATATAGATTAACGCAGTGACCCAGAAGGGCTAGGATGGGAAAAAAAGCTGTAGATCATTTTGGTCTTTCAGGTTACTCTGGCGTTTAACAAGTCTGTGCAAGTGTCAGATGAGTCACGAATGGCTCAGCAAATGCCGGCATTGCCGAACCAGATGAGAGAGCAGCCTCAAGCACTTGAAGGGAAACATTTGTGATGATTTACAGTGCGCTCCTTGAGCCTTCCAGGGCCTTAGCCTTCAGGATTAGCATGGTGAAGAATTAGAGAGGGACTGGTTTTAAAAACAATAGCTACCTGCATCTCTCCACCACTAACAACAAAGGACCTGACCGTGCAAGGGGCTGACTGCCTTTAACTCCCACTGACAGCAAGAAAGATGGAGGATTCTCAGCATATTGACATATCAGGCTCATTGTGTTCATTTATCCACTGCCTTTCCAGCTTCCTTCAGCAGAGTGTCATATTTCCATCTGGAAACCATGGCACCAGCCTGCTGATAGTGAAGCTATCGAAATTGCTCCTTAAAGTCTGGGTCATCAGGAAAAAACACTTGCTAAAGGTGCACAAAGCATAGGCACTAGAATAACCAGTCCAGAATCTTGTGGTGTTTCATGGCAATGTTGACTGGTGCCTTCTCATACTGGAGGGGCACCAGCTAAAGGGGAGGGCACATGATCACCCTTGTGTCTCCTCCCCACCCCACCTCCAGCTTGGGGCTCCCTCACTATTCCCACCCCCTCCCTGCCCCACATTACCTGCAGGGAGGGGCTCCGTCCTCCCACTGCACCGGCTCTCCCCTTCCCTTGGCACATTCGGCTGCTC